GAGAGCCCGCGGGGGGCCAGGAGTGCTCGTGTGCGGGGTGCGGTGGGAGCGGGGCGGGTGCAGCGCCATGGCTGCGCTCCTTTATCCTCCTCCTCCTCCGCCTCCGCCTCCTCCTCCCTCCTCCCCCCTCCTCTCTCCTCCTCCTCCTCCTCCTCCTCCTCTCCTCCCTCCCTCCCTCCTCCTCCTCTCTCCTCCTCCTCCTCCGCCTCCTCCTCTTCCTCCTCCTCCTCCTCCTCCTCCTCTTCCTCCTCCTCCTCCTCTCCTCCTCTCCTCCTCCTCCTCCTCCTCTCCCTCCTCCTCCCTCCTCCTCCTCCTCCTCCTCCTCCTCCTCCTCCTCCGTCGTCCTCCTCGTCCTCCTCGTCTTCCGTAGCCATTTTGGCTCAAGACTATGAGGTTCACATGGAACCAAGTGGATACCGCTAGTCCGCGGCAGTGCCAGGGCCTTGCGCCCGACAGTTTTTCCCCCGGCGCCTGGTCCGCCCCAGGTTGCCGTTCGTGCTATTCTCTGATCATTGCGGTTCTCACCATCTGGTTGTGGCCGCCATGACACCGATTGTTGGCCGCGCGGCCAGGGAGAGGGCGGCCAAGGCGAAACGTTGGTTTGCAGGTTCTGCATGCATCAGAGAACGGGTGAACCTTGGCATAACCATGCAGATGCGACTTCTTGCTTTCTCTGTGGGGGTGCTAACGGTCGTGTCTACAATTGTGATCTGGCTCCTCCTGTGCCCAGTCAGCGCGCTCCTCCTGCCACGGGTGCTGGTGCTGCGCGAGTTCTGGAAGCAAAGGAGACAGAGCTGGCTGTCCTCCGCAGTTATCTCGGTCCAAGTCTTCTGAGGCTGATGCTCCTGAGCAGCAGCCCCAGAATGATTCGGCGAGTGGCCCTGGGCTGCAGAAGAAGCAGACAGAGTTGGAAGCTTGCGAAGCAGTGTTGGCGGCGCTGGAGATGGCTGCCAAAGTCAAAGGGGTCGAGCCCAGTACCGTTTCTGGCTACGTAGACGCTGAGACTTCGGTTCGGCATCTGCGCCAGGAGATCACTGCGTCCAAGCCCCCGGGCACGCATGTGCATGGCATTGGTAACAAGCTCCAGCGGATCGACCAGCAGATTGCCAAGCTCAAGCTGCCGACTGACACCGAGGAGAAGCGTCTGGTTGAGAAGCAGCAGCTGCTCCAATAACTTCGGCAGCAGCTTGACGACAAAGAGATGGCGCGGGTGCAGCTGCATCTTGAGCAGATGACGCTGCTACGCCAAAGGACACCTGAGCAGCATGTTGGTGCTTCTTCTGCTGGCGACTGAGCTGTTTTTAAGGTTTTCTCGGCGAATTCGGAGCAGCTACATGCCATTGTACAACAGTTGGGTGGTGGTGAACAGTTGGCTGCTAGTTATGTGCAGTATGTTCAGCCATGGATTGAAGCCGTCGAGAAGGCGTGAGACGACCAATTGGAGGTGCAGCGGGCTATGCAGCAGCAGCAGCAGGCTCAGCAGCCTCCTTCTGGCGTGGATGCACCTGCTTCTCAGACGGCCTTTGGGATTCCTGTGCCCGAGGATATGGCTTTTGAGGACCTCAAGGCATTTGTTGCCAGCAGTGGGGGAAGGGTCTCCGAGGACGAGGCTGAGGTCAGGGCGCAGGACAAGCGCCAGCCCGAGTCTTTCAAGCTGTTCATCACGAAGAAGATGCGCACGGGCTCTAGCGCTGGTTCTAGTGCTGGTGCTAAGGATGGTAATCGAAACAGTCGAGCAATCCATGCCAGGGTCTTGCTACCACGTATCATCTGAGGTTGGCGATGACGTTGAGCAGTTGCGTGCTGGCCCTGGGTTTGACCCGGGTGATTTCTTTGGGCTGCGTGGCGATAGTGCTGAGGCCGGCGACGCTGAGCCATCGTTGCTTCATGATGGTCCGCAGTTGGAGCAGGTGCCTACTGCGGTCGCGGCGCACAGGGTCACGACCTCCTACGCTTCGGCAGCGACGCCCCCTGGTTTGGAGAGGATGAAGATACCTTGGGCAGAGGGCGCAGGGATTCAGCCCCTGGAAGCCACGCCGCTCTGTCCACATGTCCTTCGGCTTCGGGGTTGACTACTACTTCGAGGTGGCCCACGGATCTCCCCCCAGATGGCCAGGGGCGTTCTCCCCCTGGGCTGCGGGGCAATGGCGAGACAGATGAAGGCTTGGGCTGGGACATCGGCGTCGAGCGGTGCACTTGCGGCTCCTATGGGGTCGCAGAGGTCGCCACATGTTGATCAGTTACCAGCTGGAGCTCAATGTCGCATGCTGGAATCTGGCGTTATAATGCAAAGTCCTGGCGTGCCATCAGGGCTATTAGGCTCCAGGGTGCCACGCGTGCTGGAAGAAGGCGTCAGAGAGCAAAGACCTGGTGTGCCATCGGGGCTACTAGGCATAATGTCGCCACGTGAATCAGGATGGCCAGCGGTTGCTCTGGCGTCTCGCGTGGCTGTGGAGGATGCGACGCCCGCGAGGCCCGTGGGCCCTCCGAGCGCCGCGGGCCCCTCTGCGAAGACCGTTGTCGGCATTGCCGTCGGCGGTGCCGCGGGTCCGAGTTTGGGGGTCGCTGCTTGCGTGAGGCGTGGGAAGCGTGCCGCTGCCTCGTGCAGCGTGGGCTTGGCCCGAGGTTGCCCAGGTTTTTGCCCGCAGATACCATGTTCAAGGGTGGGCTGATCACGGCCGATGTTGCGTCGCATGGGTCGTTGTTTGAGTATCTACATACAGTGCAGCAGGCAAAGGTGCTTCTTGTGCAGGAGCACCATGCACTACCAGATCGTCTTGCACAGGCGCAGTCCCAGGCTCGAGACCTTGGTTGGCATGGTCTTTGGGCTGGCGCTACACCCGGCCCGACGTCGGCTACGGGCTCGGTCGCAGGTGCGGCTATTCTGGTGCGCGCTGATATCACGATTTCGGCTCCAAATCCCCCCGGGCAGGAAGTGGCCCCAGGAAGGCTACTATTTGCCCATATTCACTTGGGGTTCCTGGAGGTTTTACTGCTGGCAGTCTCTATATAGATGCTACGGTTTACGGATTGCATGGGCCCCGTCAGCGCTGCGTATTCATGGGCAATGGTCCAAGCATTGGCGAAGCTAAACAGTGAAGGTCGTGATTGGCTTGTGGGAGGTGGCTGGAACAACGGGCCCGCTGCTGTTCAGAATGGGGTGGGCCACAGCTGCCTCGGCCATTCCTTTCGCTCCCTGCGCTCCTGCGTGTCGACGGGCCACGCCTGGCACTGTGCTCGACTATTTCGTGGCCTCGACGAACCTTGCATCCAGAGTTGCCTCGCGTGTGCGGGTTGACGAGGGCTCTACCTTGACCCCGCATTGTCCAGTTCAGCTACGGATGATGGCGCAGGATGTGCATACCTGGAGGCAGGCCCCTGATCTGCCCAAGGAGCTACCCCTGGTGGAACCACCTGGTGCTCGAGGTGCCCTTATGAATGGGGCGCTCAGTTGTCTGCAGATGTGACCGACACGCAGGGACTCGCTGCTTGCATGGATTCCCTTATGTGCGGGGTTGAGCGGGAGTTAACCAACAGGTGCGATCATGTTGGGGCCAGCGCACTTCGGTATGCTGGGCGCAATGGCTCTCCGCGCTTCGCGTGGGGGCAACTCGCGTGGCAGGCTCCACTGCGGCGCACTTACAAGCGGCCGCAGACCTTGGCTTAGAAGACAGCGCTACGATGGATGATGCATTTACAGCGAGACCGCCATCGGCTCCGCACGCTTGTCTCTCGATTGCAGTCTCCCAATGTGCTGTGCGCGATTGAGCCGCAGCAGTGCGCCGTGCTTCTCCGGGCGTTCCACGAGGTCGGTGGGGTTCCTCGCCACTGTCATGCGTGGCCGCGTTGTGCTGAGCTTTCTTCCAATGCAGCTGCAGTCGTTCTTTGCGCCAGGACTGGAGGTGTTGGTGGCGCTTGCGTTTCAGTCGTTGCTTGACCAGGTCGGGCGCGAGGCCATTGTAATTCGCAGCAGCGACCCGAAGGCTGCCTACCAGGCTTGGATGAGGTTTCAGCGGGTTGCCTTCCAAGATGGCGCATCAGTTGCCCATCGGGTCCAAGGTTCAGCCGTTGGGCCAGGTTTTTCCTTTTGCGCGAGACCCGCGTGGTTCGCAACCGACGGTCCTGGTCAACAGAGATATGGAGGGCTGGCAACTGGTGTGGACGCGGCATGGATGCCTCCCCGTGGAACCACCCGCGGAGGCTGTGAACTGGCCGCCCCTGCCAGCGGTGGACGTACCATCCTGGCGACGGGTGCTGCTTACCTTCCCCAAGCGTGCGCCGACAGGGCCTTGTGCCCAGCGCCCGCGTTTGTTGTGGTATCTATCCGACGAGGCGCTGGGCATGGTGATTCAGTTCTTTACGACGTGTGAGAGGCTACTTGATTGGCCAGCGGGGAGACTATGGTCAATGAAGTGTCGTGTCCCGACAGCTGATGGAGGACGCAGGCTAACTGCGGTGTTCCACACGTTCCAGAGAGTATGGGGTCGGCTTCGGCGCAGCATGTCCCGACAGTGGGGGCGCGATCGTCGAAGTGAGTAGGTATGGGGCAATCGATCGCGGTGCACTTCTTCGGATAGAACGTTTACGCGCAAGTTGGAGTCGGAGATTGCCGTGCTGAGAGGTCATTTTACTGCTGCCTTTCTGCCTGGCCCCACTAAGGCTTTTGATCTGGTTCGGCCGTCGCAGCTTTTCAGGGAAGGCATTGCGTTTGGCTACCACCTCCGGATGTTGTTCATTTTGCTGCGGATGTACCGTCACCCGCCATGCTTGCAGGGATATGGCACCTACTCTGATCCGCTCCAGGTCGACCAGGGCATACTGGCAGGGTGTATGCATGCTGTTTGCATGCTGGAGGTGCTGACCTTGCGGGCGATACTACGGCTGCGAGAAGTCCATGGTAACCTAGTACAACGGGCGCTTGTGGATGATGTTTCGGTGCAGTACGCTGGTTCTGATTCTAATGGGGTTGAGGCCTTGCAGCTTGCCGTGAAGTTGTTTCA